GAGCCCAGCAGTGTCTGTTCAGCACTTCCAAAGGCAGGGAAAATCCAGCAACACAACCCCTAAAAATGTTCAAATGAACCCCAAGTCAGGAACCACCATCCCCAGTGAGAAAGTTTGAACATCTCCCTGCAAACAGTCCCAGGAAAATTGGGAAACTGAAAAATGCAAATTACAGGAATTCTTTGTTTATATCCAGGAATGGAGTCAAATTTGACAGGCTGGGGGTGTTGAGCTGGAGCAGAGAATGCTCCAGGGAGACCTGAGAGCCTCTTCCAGGACCTAAAGGGGCTCCAGGAAAGCTGGAGAGGGACTTGGGACAAGGGATGGAGGGACAGGACACAGGGAATGGCTTCCCACTGCCAGAGGGCAGGGACAGATGGGATATTGGGAAGGAACTGTTGGCTGTGAGGGTGGGCAGGCCCTGGCACAGGTTGGGCAGAGAAGCTGTGGCTGCCCCTGGATCCCTGGAAGTGTCCAAGGCCAGGTTGGAGCAACCTGTGCTGGTGGAAGGTGTCCCTGCCCATGGCAGGGGATGGAACTGGATGAGCTTTGAGGCCCCTTCCAACCCAACCCAACCCAACCCACCCCACTCTGTGATTCTGTGACTCCTATTTAACCCCATTTGCTCCACAGGGATTTGCTCCCATTTCAGACACTGCCCTGGGCTGTGAAGTGAGTTCACTGCCAGGTCTCAGGCAGGTTTGCAGGTAAATTCTGGGCTTGTCCTGTCCAGGAGTTGGACTCAATGATCCTTGTGGGTCCCTTTCAATTCAGGATATTCTGGGATTCTGTGCTAAATGAAGGAGCACCGTCCCTTTGCTGTCCCTGGTGCAGCTGCATGTGCTGCAGACAGAGATGTGCTCAGATTCCTCCCTCCCTGGCACTGTGTGTGCTCCAACCAGTGTCTTTGGGATTAACTTTGGGTTAACTGACTCCTGTCAAAATAAACATGGAGAGTTCTTAGAACTCACTGAGCAGCAAAGGAAATCCCCTCAGAGAGCGGGTCCAGCACAGGGCTTTGCTGGAAACTCTTGCTTGTTTAACAGAGAGGGTTCTCTGGGGTAATAAAACCCTTCCAGGGCTGTGCCAGGGTTTTTCCACGAGGTTGGAGCTGCACTTTCTGTGGCTGGTCATAGACATGGAGTGAGATCACCCTGGAGATCCCACCACAGGTCCCAGGGAGTCCTGAGGGCAGGCACTGGGAGAGGAGCTGGGGGAGGGATGGAGCCTTTCACTTTTTCAGTCAAGGTGGTTTCTTTTTCCTTATGCATCCCTTAATTACCACTCATGCTCAGATGACATAAAACAGCCCCAAGGCTTCTCCATTTTCCTTGGAGCAGGGAAAAATCTCTTGCTGGACAGGTTGAGAGGCTCTGTCACCTTCCTGCCTGCCAAAAACCCCATAAGCAGGGAGACAAAGGGAAAAGCCACATGGCAGCATCCACCTCCAGCCCTGGGGCTCCCCAGGGAATGCCATGGTCAAAGTTCCTGCACCCCCCAGCCACTGGAATGGCACAGAAGGGGCTTTGTCCAGAAATCCCAGGTCAGAAGATCCCATGGCTGGGGAACCTACAGCTCTCTGTTGGTGAGGACAAAGAGGGAAGGGATTGGATTCCTCCAAGTGTCACACCAAATCAACAACTGCAGCAGCCTCTGGGTCACAGCAGCAATGCAAACATCTCTCCTAAAGTTAAAAAATCCTCCTTGCTCTGCGTGGATTTGTACCCATGGCATGGTGTGAAGGGGAGGTATTTTTAAGGGTGCTCATGTCTGCAATCAGAAGGTTACAGCCATAAGTGTTTTTCCCTGAAGTATGGGAAAAAAAAAAAAAAAAAAAAAAAAAAAGGAAGAGTTTTGCAAAGAGAGCCTTGCTTTAGACACAGTTTCACTGGTTTGGGGGTATCAGTTCAGGTTGGTGGTCTTTGACCTTCCACATCTTGGTACTGCTTTCCCTACCAGTTGTAATCAACCAGAGCAACAACCCACCTGCTGGGCCCCCTGGAAGCACAGAGAGCTGGGCTGTGAAATAAAAGGCCATCTATTGACTGAGCCCACCCAGAGCTCTCAGATTTCCTGGTGGTAATGGCAGTGCAGAGTAAACAGGCCCCATCCCCCTGGCAGGACCATGATACCATCACAGACCTCACTCCCAGATCGGGTCGATACCAATCTCTGGTTTCATGATGTCAGATTTCAGAATGGGCCTGGTGTCTCCAGAGCACCAGAGCAAGCTGAAGAAGGTGACACTGAGCCACCAAGGAGTCACAGCACTTGTCCTGAAGCAGAGCTGGCCAGCTTGACCTTCAAAGATCATTTCCACTTGCTCAAAAGCACCACGATATCCCTCAGGACCAGGCCACTGGCTATTTTTATTGGCTCCTTCAGGAGCACAAACATTGACCTGGCTGCTTGTGGTTCTCCCAAACACAACCTGAGGAGACTGTGCAGTGTCCAGCCTGTCTGGAGGGTGTTAAATGACTCCAATCTCCCTCAGTCAAGTGCTGGGCTGTGCTCATGGGACAGAGGTCGTGCTGCTTGCAATAGTGATACACTCAGTCTTACAAAATGTCATGACTGCAAGGAAAAAGCCACTGCTGGAATTACACTGGAGTGATCTCCAGACTTTGCACTCTAAGAGGGATTTGTTCTTTGAACAGGAGTCCAACAGAAAACTCAGTGGATGCCAACTCCAGTAACTGTAGAGAAGTCAAGGCAGAACCACACATGTCCCTTCTGAGGTCCCCAAGAAGCCAGAGACACTACAAAGGGTTTTCTCTTCATCTCAGGAGGCCAAGGCAGGCAGGTTCTGAACTGGCTGGTAACTCAGGGTGAGCTGGGCTCCTCCACCACCCAGGTCCTCCTGACAGGCCCACTGGCCAAACTCCACGCCCTGAGCTGGCCCCACAGGGACTGAACAACATCCCTCATGGAAAGAGCGGGCAGGGGAGAAGCTGAGCCCAGCACAGCCCATGCCCAGCTTTCCTGAGCCCTGATCCTAAAGCCAGGCATGAGCCTGGGCCAAGGCTCAAGGAACCTGCAAGCTGCTGTGTCCAAAACACGTCCCAGTGGGGAAACTGGGACAAAGGAACCATCCACTTCCACATCTAAGGAGGAGACATCTTCAAGTGAGAGAAGGGAAGCCAAGCACCCAGTGCTCCAAGAGCCTCTGGCAGGTTCACTGGTTCCTTCCTTAAAAATGGGTAGTGGGGATGGTGAAAGGATGAAATTGGGCTTTTTTCGGTCTCCCCTGAAAGCCAGGAAACACAATTCTAGCTAGAAGACTGGACAGCAGCAGGGGAAGCAGCAGAGCTGGTCCTGGAAGTGCTGTAAGGGACGTTGCAAAGGGGGAAAGGCAGTGGTGGGATCGGGGAAGCCAGGAGAGTGTAGAGAGGGTAAAGCAATGCTGAGAGTGGCAGAGAGAAAGGCAAGAGCTCTAAAGAAATAAAACCTCCCATTCCCAGCTACAGGAACTTTCAAATCAAACCCAGCACACGTTCAGGGTGCTGACACAGTTCCTGGTGCTGCTGTGCATGAAGCACATTGGAAAAGCTGCTTTGTTTTGTGTCTGCCACTCAGAAAACGTGGCTTTGCATCCCCTGGGCTGTGCTCAGGGATGCAGACATTCCCATGGGAGCACAGGGGGGTGTGGGGGACAGTCAGGGACAGCACTGAGCACCCCCAGCCCTCCCCAAACAATCCCTGTGAGGGGCAGGGGGGGTTTCATTCATAGGAATGCTGAACTGCTTTAATCACATCCAGGAAGGAATCCAGGAGTCCTCCCGAACAGCCACAGCTCCAGGACAACCCAGTCAAGAGAAACAGAGGCTTCCCGTGGGTTTAAGGCAATAAAACCCAGCTCAGTTCATCCCACAAGTCCCATCTGCCACAGGAGGGTGATGGCAACACACTGAGCACATCGAATTTCTCATTTCACTGCTTTCCTGCCATTCCCTGGCTCCCTCCCTAAATCCCTTCAGGTCACAGCCATGACAGGCTGGCGCTGCTTTGGCTCTTTGCATTCACCCCCTCTGTGTGATGGATCTGAAGCTCAGCTGGGTTTGGATACACAGTCCCTACACCTGGGGGAGAGGTGAGTTCTCCTGGACAAACACTCAGGTTTCCTTTCCCAAGGCAACGTTTTTCCCTCTCGGTTCGTCAGTTTGATCATCTGCTAATGAAACATTTTAAAAGGAAAGCAAATGTCAGCTGGTAACAGCAGCAAACCACAGCCACTGACTAATTAAAGCCTTTTTCTAACACCCAGAAACCCAGACCACCCAACGGCAAGAGCAGAACTGATAAATCCTGCTGGAGATTGCTCATGTCTCCTTGGTCCCCTCTGCAACACACAGGAAGGATGAACTGTAATTGCATCCCACAAACACACTGCTTATTACCTGATTTTTGCATTTTTTTAAAGATAAACAGCAGCATTAGACCAGAGCTGAATTCCTGAGGCAGACTCTGAATTACCTGGAGCCGAGATTTAAGATATGCATCAAATTAAGGTCTTGCATCCATTCTGGTTTGAGCTATTTCGGTTGGGTGGGATGAAAATCATATGAATATAACCCTTTCTTTTGTTCCCCACCCAAAACCCAGGCATCAGCAAAGATCTCCCCAGATCTTCCTTACAGTGGGAACAACCATTAGCAACATCACTTTCAGGAGAAGGCTCTGGAAAGATTAGGATACAGAGAACACTTCTCTGTCACATCAGAGACAGCTACAAGATGAATTTGTGCTCTTCACCCACCTTTACTCAAACACCCACTCAGAAAAGAGATGGAGGTGATTGCTAACTTAGAGACAGCTCAAAAAGAGGGAATTAGTGCAGTCTGGAGTGCCTGTGGATCTGGAGGGCCAAGCTTTTACAGTGGCTGAAATCCAACTACACCTGGCCTTCTGCTCACCTCCACGAGGCACCTTCACTGCCATCACTGTAACCAGTAACTCCCACACAGCTGTGGTACACAGAGAGAAATAAATGGGACACTTACCCTCCTTCAAAGATCTTGATCCTGACTGGCTCCCCTCGTTTGGTCACAAGAGCCTCTTCTTCTGATTTTCCTCTTTTCTCCTCTTCCTTCTCAGCTCTAGTTATATCTTTTCGACCTTCATTAGAAAGGAGCGAAGGCAAATGAACCTATCTCCCCAAAAGAGCAAAACAATCAATGATTACATACAAAATCACTCTAAGACAGACCCAACAGCCCCAGCAAAGAGCCAGCAACTCCTGCAGGTGCTGCTCCTGACAGCCAAGGGCAGGAATTGGGACACCTTCCTAACAAGCAGATTTGCCTCTGGATTTTGGATGTGTCGTATTTACTGTGGCCTGCCACGGGTTTGTAAATCACCCCCTGCATATGGTGGCTCCCGTATTATCCACCTGGAAAGCTGAGGGATAAAGAGAAGCATCTTGGCTGGGGTGACCCTGTGTGGTGGAGCCACACGGACCTCCCTTCCCAAACCCACTGCTCTGTCCTTGCATAATCCTCTCTCCAACATACACATCTGCAAAAGGCTGGAGAGGAGGCATCTGTAGAATTCATACACTTAACCTCAACCCCTGGGTTTCCCCCACATGCACACACACACACACTCTCACACAAAGCTGGACTTCAGCCATCTGGGCTTGACATAAATCGCTCGACAGTCAGAGCTCTCGGGTGATTTCCTCTCACCGAAACCCCGTTGCCAAGGGCACAGCACAGAGAAAGCCACAAAACCCACGGGAGAAAATAATCCTCAACCTCCCCACATGTTCCCAGGGTAAACTCTGCTTCCTCACTGTTCAAGTTGCCACCTTGTTCAGGGGTTTTTTTGTGTCTAAACCTTGTTTACACCAAGGTTTAAGTCATGCACTGACAACTCACCTACATGTTGAATGTTCTTTGTTGTAGTAGATGGACCTAAACATTAGAGCTGCCTCTTTAGCTTTGTACAAAGCAAGGAGAGCAAGAAATGTTGGGAATCCTGCCCTTCTAAAACCCAACAGGACAAATAACAGGGGTCTCCAGAGCTCTGAAGGAGGAAAGCAGGTTGCTTTCACCCAGGTCACTTTTTAGACCATTTTTCTGATGTTCAATTGAATTACCCATATCCTCACTTTATATATAACATATAAAGAGTTTTTACCAGAGTTTTTAGAGGGATTTTGGCCTGAACTCAGCCAAAGAACTGGCAGAAGTCTAAAGCAGAGCTGGTCACCCTTGGCAAGAGTGGCAGCTCACCTGCCCCACCTGAGCCCTCGTCTTGAGGGGGATGAATCACCCAAAAGGAGCCTCTTTGTCTCCCGTGGTTCTAGGGAAAGCCACAGAGTGAACAGCTCAACTGGAGCCATCCAAAACTCCAGCAGGCTGCTGGAACTACCCTGGGATGCTCAGCAGGAGGAGGGGTGGGCTCACTAAAACAGCAGCTTTGCAACACTGAGGTCAAACATTTCAAATCTGCCCAGCAGTTTCAGGAGCTCAAACTTGAGGCTCTTTGCCCTTGGGACCAGCTGGTTCAGATCAGCCACATCCACACATCACACCCACACACCCTCCCTAGATTCCTCCTGGGAATGGTCCCTGTGCTGTCCCAGCTCCCTAAAAGTGCCCAGCAACCATTTAACAGTTGAACAGCTGGAATGGTCTCCAGCTGCCATCTCTGGGCATGGAGGCATCTGGGGGGGGGGCGGGAATCAGTGGCAGGAGACACACACACTGAGCACCTTCAAAATCAACCTCCTGATAGGAGCAATGCCATAACACTGCCAGTGAGAACCTTCCCAGGTCAGGAATTTCACTGAGGAATACAAAACAGTTGACTTTCTAGATGTAGCACGAGGTTTATTTATTGCAACTTTTGAAAGCACAGAACACAGACAGATGAAAGGCACCAGAGAGCCAAAATCATACAGTCACTACTATCCCCTTTTACAATCTCATTGAATGTACAAAGTGTGCAAGCCCAGTACAGTGTATTTATCCCTCCCTACATGCAGCTGGAGCCCACAGTCCCTCCAGAATTATCTGCTCAGCAAATCCCACTGGGAATTTAAAACCCAAGCCAAGTATGTAGACAGCACGTCCAGGACTAGTGCTTGCTGGGAGCTTCTGCATGCATAATTGTACAAAACACCAGAGCTTTTTGACATCTTCTGCTGTGTTGACTGACAACTTAGAGTTACACAAAGAAGTAAATATTGAAGGGGAATAGCTGGAGTAGAGTTAAGTGAACTTTCAGCCTGGGATTGATGCTACTGCCACACACGTCCTGTTAATCACCCACCACGCCACTTCCTAATCTGTGCCAGCCACATGTATTTTAAATCCTAAACTCAGGATTTCACTCCCACTGATCAGAAATTCTTTCTCTGCTTGGCATGAGTTCAATTCCTCTTCACTGAAATTACCATACTGTCTGCAAACCACGCTCCAGGATGGATTTAGGCTCCACCATTCTCCAGGTGAATTTGGCAGGACAAACTCTTCCTTTTGCAATTTGTCCCACGAAAACCTTAATTTACACCACCAGTCAGATTAGAGGGTTGTTTGCTTTTTTTTTTTTAAAATAAAGGTTTATGAGCCCTGGGAGCAAATGCATGCATGAAATGTGTATTTTGATGACAAAGGGCTGAACCTTCCTGCCTGGGATTTAACCTTTCATTTCAGGGTCTGAGGGTCTCAGATCTCTGAACACACCCTTGGTGGGCATTTTAGCACCATGTCAAAGAGCACAGCTCGGAGAAGCACAGGCTCTTCTACTGGAGAATGAAATCAAGGGTGGCACAACACCAGTCAGATCAAATCCTTTGAAAAATAGTGCAGAGATGTCAAGCCTTAGTGTGGTTATTGCACTGCTCAGGTAATTATCTGCCCCCGTGGCCCCAGAAATCTGCCTTTTGGATTTCTGCAGAAGGATGATGGAAATGCTGAATAGAAATAAAGATTTATTGAATCAAAGCAACTCTACTGTGTATTTTAAGACATATTTATAAGCAGCAGCTGCAGCAGTGATTATGATAAATTTAATATTCAGAGTTCATTTCATGATACAGAAATAAAATGAATAATCCATCAATATAAATTGACTTGAGATGAATATCAAATGGCGACATCTTCAGAGCAATTCTGTTTGCTAATCTACACGAACATGATCTGGATTAAAGGGATCTGTGGGGTTCAGCATTAACCAAGAGGGGTAAATCTGGCCTTAAAATGAGATACATGATATTAGGCAGCTCACAGAAGTGTCTTAAAGACTTCTTAGCCCACGTGGCCAATGCCATCGGGAGCTCTGCCCCCGTGAGCTGTTTGCCTTGCTCCTCCAAACTCCAAAAACCAGGTCTGAAATACCCTGAGATAGCTGGGAGAGCAGGTGGGCAGTTCAAGAAAGGAACCTCACGACAAGACCCCACGTCTGACCTCCCGAGGCACTGTTATAAATGTCACTACGTGCCCTCACACTTCTTTGGGGGCCTAAATACACTTGCAAATCTCCCTTTAATATTTTTTAAACGCTTTTAAGCATGCCTCTCCGTGTTCATTAGTGTGAGATGAGCAGATGCACAACCAGGCAGAATCCCATTTCCCCAAGGTAATCCTTTCTCATTTAGAACATGCAAAATGGAGGGAATTATAACAGCATTTATGGAAAAGGAAAGAAAAAAAAGAAAAAAAAAAGGAAAAAAAAAAGAAGTTGTAAAGCTATTTGAAATATCAAGACAAATGCAAATGAGGTGTAATCCTCTGTGCTTGAGCAGGGGCGGTTGGTGGTGAGGTGGTGATTCCTACAAGCTCTTTTGATTACAAGGCAAGTAGAAACTGGAGAAACAGAAACGTGGAGCCTTGGAGCTCGCCTGCCTGTTCTGGGTTTTTGGTTACAGTGGGGTTTTGCTTCTTCACTCGACGAGTTTCACCGAGAACAAGCACTTCCCAACCCCAGAGGGGGCTGAGTAAACCCCTATTAAACCGACAACGGCAACCGCCCGTCCCTCATCCCCCTCTCCCCACGTGTGGACGAGGAGAAACAGATAGGATTGCATTACCTCTGTCATTTTGGGCTTCCTGGAGCTGGATGGGACCAGCCTGCCTGCCTCTGGACGTGGAGCTGTGGCCATGGTGTAGGTTTCCTTGCTCACCTTCTGCTTGGACCTCAGGAGGGACAGGGCTGCCTTGGTGGATATCCCCGGCAGGTTGGGGTTGTAGAGGCTGATGCACCAGCTGGCATAAACCGAGGAGCGACGATCCACTTGCTGGATGTGATTTGGCTTTATGTAGTTTAAGTAGCACCAACTGACATTAGTGGTTGTGTGGAGACTGGGGAACTGAAGTACCTTCTTCGTGTCTGTACCTTCTCGAGACTTCATTGCACTCTGGGTGCCCTCGGGCGGAGGGGCAGTGCTTGGGGGGTTTGGTGGAGACTGCTCCACCTGTTCTTTGGAGTCTTCTTTCTTCACGGGTTGCAAAGGTGCCTTGCTGAGGAACTGTTGGCCAGCTGGCTGCTCATCCTCTTCCAGTGCCTCAAAGCTTGGAGAACCTGAATGGGGCACAGCCTGCTGCGAACTGCTCGGGGTTTCCTTTGGCTCTGACTGCTCTGTGGACAAACTGGGTGGCGCTTCAACCTCGACCCTGTCCTGGCTTTCTGCAAGAAAGTGAGATTTCTCCTGCTTTTTCCCTTCCTCTATTGCACTGGGGGGCTTCACCACTTCCAGCTTCTCTTCTGCCTCAGACACTTCCTCCTCTTTCACCCTCTTCTGCTGCTGCGTCTCCATCGTCAGTTCCAAGCTGCCAGCTGGGGAGAGCATCCTTTTGCTCCCCCCGACCGTAGCTGGGCCCCCTTCCAGGCCGAGGACGCTGTCGGAGGGGCAGGTGAGGGGCATGTACCCTTTGCGTTCGGGCAAGGGCAGGGGCACCCTCAGATAGGGGCTCTGGAAAATGCTCCTCTGCTCCTCCGTGATCATCTGCGCCAGGTCGAAGCCCAGCCCGTGGACGTCGGCGCTGCACACCAGGGCACCCTTGGGCGGGCGGTCGTTGAATTTGGGGAGGACGATGGTGGAGGAGCTGCACTGGGACTGGGTGACCAGGATCTGGGACAGGGTGGTGTACATGGCGCTGCCGTAGGACGGCATGTTCGTCTGGATGCGCACGGGGACAACCAGCGACACCATCGGCTCCGAGCGCGTGGGGACGACCAGCTGGGTCACAGTCACGGACACCGAAGGGCTCGTGGTGCAGGTCAGGGGGTGCAGCCTGCTGTCAGGGTCGTACTCTGTGCACGGGGAGAGGCTGGAGGCTCCTGCTGCCGGGAATAAACTGGATTTGAGCTGCGGTAAATGCCCACCAGCTTCACCCGGCAAGTGGAGAGCGAACTGAGACTGGAGAGGCAGAAAAAAGGCTGAGGGGATGGGAGAGGAGCCAGGGTAGGGCACGGGCAGGAATGAGGGGTGCCTGAAGGACACCTCAGCGGGGTGAGACATCAGTGGAGGAGCGATGTGCAGCGGGCCCGGGTGGATGAGCGTCTGCGGGAGAGGCAGTGGCGGGGTCTGGAATATGGAGGGAGGGATCTGGGGCATGGAGAACTGAGCAGAGAGGATGTCAGACATGGTGTGTGCAGCAAAGAGCTCTGCAGACTGCCCTGGCTGCGGCAGGAGGTGCTGGTAGGGGAATATGGAGACCTGTGGGGCCAGGAACTGCTTTTCGTGCAGCGTCAGCTGTGGGACAGGGTGGTGGAACACCTGCAGGGCTTCCGTGTAGGGCGGGGTGTAGGTGGGCTCAGGGCTGTCCTTTGGCTGGCTCTTCTCACTGGGGTAAGTCCCGTGAGAGGGCAGAGGGGGTGAAGAGCTTGGCTGGTGGGGCAAACTGGTGGAAGGAGATTTACTTGAGGAAGGAGCTGGATCTTCTGTCTCCGCCCAGCCCGTGGGAGCTGGGTCTGGGTCGTGCTCTGGGTGCCTGGTGAGGGATGCCTGCCGGACCAGGAAGCATTTCCTCCTCTCCTGGGAGGCCGAGGAGCTCGAGGGGCCGGGGGTTGAGGCAGGAGTGGACGACAAGCTCCCGTAGTCAAACGATTTGCTGCGTGTCTCCGACATCTGGGAAGGGTGGGACACGTTGGGTGTCTGCTCAGAGGCGGATCTCCGCATCTCCCTGGAGTGGTGATGGTGGCTTGGGACCATCAGCATGTGTGAGCCAACGCCAGGAGGCTTTGGGTGGGACTCAGAGGGCTGGCTGGTGGGCTCTGGCTTGCCGTGATCGTCACGGTCGAAGGAGACGGAGTGGCTGGAGCCGTGGGAGACGCTGCTCTCCTGACTGGGGCTGCGGGTGAGAGACACGGACTCAAAGCTGGACTCCCCTGACGACTGAGCCATCTCCGCCAGCCGGAGCCGCTTCTTTTTGGGTGGGAGTTTCTCCGCAGGGAGCTGGGAGAGGGTCTGGCTCCTCTGCGGCCACTGGAATTCCTCTGTTTTCTCCGGCTCTTTCGGAGGAGGTTCTGGCTCCGTTTCTGGCCTGTCAGGCTCTTCTGTGACCAGAATCTCCGGAACCTGGATGTTGTGCTGCCGGACGAGCCGGGGCTGCAGGGAGTGGGGCGGTCGGCTCTGCTGGGGGGTCGGCTGAGACGGGAACTGGGACAGGGGCTTGTCTTCTTCCAAGCTGCTCGCCTGCTCGATGGAGTCAGACTTCTCAAAGGAGCTCGTGTGCTGGATGACAGAGATCTCCTTGGAGGTTGTTCTCCTCTCCTTGCCCTCCCCGCTCGAGGCCGGTTTGGTGTTCCTGGGATGGAAGGCGGCACTGACGTCAGGAGGGGCGGATTTACCCGGATCTGCTGGTGACTTCTTGGATTCACGGGTCAGGTTCAGAGCGACATCCGACGACGCCAGGTTTGCAAACTGAGCCCCTGGCCCAGCGCTGGAGGAGGGGGTGTCAGACACCTCAAAAGCTGGGGGTTCCTCGTCATCACCAAGGCTCTTCTCCTTCCGCCTTTTGCGAAGCGAGGTGAGCTCCAAAGTGCTCCCCAGCTTGTAATGCATCATCTGGGGCCACATGTCAGGATCTGCAGAGCCTTTCTCAGTCTCTGAGGAGGGATGGGAAGTGGAAGAGCGAGGCTTGGAGAGCTGCAGCTCTGAGCAGTAGTACTTCTTATGGGCTTCATAATTGTCCCTTTTCTTGTACCGAGCACCGCACACGTTGCACTCGTACATGAACCCTTTCACCTTCGGGCCCTTCCGTGACTTTTTGGTAAGATCGCTTTCCTTGGTTTCAGGCTCCTCGGGAGGTTTGGAAACAGTTTCTTTGTTGGCAGAGCCGACCTCCTCTGAGACGTATTCCACTCCCAAGGGCAGCTCAATAGCTGGTTGTCGTTTCAGCGTCCGAGGGTGAGAAGAAAACGCTTGACTGCGGCTTAAGACTTCAGGCTCCATGATGTGATCATCAAATGAGTAGCTACCTCTAAAGGTGTGTGGGGAGCTTATAGTGCATGCAGCAGAAGGCATTGAGTGGCTTCTTAGGAGAGGCACTGTCTCTGTGGCACTGTGGGATTGCTGAAGTGACAACAATGATTGTTCGGGCTTAATTTTTTCACCGTGGGATGCCAACACTTTGGAAGTATCCAACTGGCTACTGGAACCAGACTTGATATCGAACTGGAAGGGTTCTCTATATACACCAGACTTTGGAGATTCAATGCTGCTACGTCTAGATAAAGAGCTTCTTCTAGGCTTAACACTATCTATTTCACTGGTATCTACAACAGCTTCGTTAATTGTAATTAGCTTAGTGATGTGTTCAATCACCTGTGTTCTAGGCACAGACAATGGGACCATGCTGGGCTTCTCATCCGTGGACAGGTGTGGAAACCCCTGGGTGGTGTTGGCAGCCAACGCCGCCGTCCTCTGCCCGATTCTCCCGCACTTCCCAAAAATAATCTCTGCATAAGACTTGGCGTTGGTGTTTGGGGGGCTGATCTGCTGCTCCGCGCTCTCTGACCTGGAGAAGTACCCGGACTCGGTGCTGCCTTTGCTGCCGGGGCTCAGGAAGGCCTGCTCGTCTATCACCTTCTTCCTCTCGCTCAGGCGCAGCGCAAGTTTCTGCTTGATGGTGTGGGTGTCCTCGGATTTGTGGCTCAGGGCGTGGTCCGGCGAGGGCTCCACAAACTGGCCGCTGTCCTCCAGGGACTGGGACATGCTGGAATGGGACAGGGAGCACCGGTCATGGCTGGAGCCTTGGCTCCCCGCGCTCAGCAAGCCGCTGGACAGCAGGCTGTGCTTCTGCCTGGGGGAGAGCTCCACCGAGTGCCCCGACATCGCGCCCGTCTCCTCCTCCGAGTCCGTGCTCTCCCCTTCCGTCGGCTCCTCGAAGTCCTCCCCGCCGATCCTCTCCATTTCCAGGCTCGATGGATACATCTCCGCTCCGATCCCTGAGGCCAGCCCGGCTTTGATGCGATGAGCGTGAGATTTCCGGTGTTTGTACAAATTGCTCTTCGTCTTGAAGGAAAAGCCACACGGAATGCAAGGGTACGGCCTCTCGCCCGTGTGCGACCTGATGTGCTTCTGGAGCACGCTGGGCTTCGCACAGGGCCTGCTGCAGTACTGGCAGATGTACTTGCCTGGCTTTTGGGGTTTCTTTTCCTTCTTGTGCACCTCCTCGGCCTGTTTTAAGGAAACCTGGGAAGGGCGAGGGATGTAGACCTTCTGAACGGATGCCATGTCCTCTCCAGGAATGATCTGCGAGTGGGAGGGCAGGAGCTGGCCGTGGTGAGAGTGAAGCCCGGGTGATGGAAAGGAGCCAGAGGGCCCTGGTCTCACTGGATCAACTAGCTGCCACGTGGGACCCTCGAGGACATGCTCTGGCTTCCCCGGAGACATAAATGCTGGTGACAGTGCGTGCTGATGAAGCTGCGAGATGTGGGGGGGGTGTTCGAAAGAGGAAGGCTTGGGTTGCTTCTGATGTCCAGTCTTCTCCTGAGACTCCTCTCTTGGAAGGGGCAGAGGGCCAGAAAAGTGCTGCTGCGGTATGATATCTCGGAGAGGGGTTCCTTGGGAAGGAGCAGAGCTGCCCTGGTACGTAGTTGTGGATGAAATACTGGCTTGGAAAGCCTCTCCTTTGGGAAGCCTCTTTCTTGGACTTTCCTCAGCCTTTTTTGTGCTCTTCTGGCTTTGTTCAGGATCCATGACCTTAAAAGGGTCTCTGAATGCTATTTTGGGAAGGGTTTGGCAGGCTTCATTTACGAATAATAAAGGTCTCCTCTGTAGATTCCCTGTTTTGCCTGCATTTGCTACGGAGCTGGAGCCGCCAGGAGATGGTTGTTGATTTAAGATTTTACTAAAGTGTCACTAGTTGCTATTTGATTCAAAAAAAAAAAATGTTTCAAGGTCAGTAAAGTTCACATTGGTAACACATGACAAACTACTTCAAAGAGAGAAAACTTTCCAAAACTTTTAGTCCAAATATTTTCCTTGTGAACTTGGTTAAGGCTTTAAACCTTGCCATTTTATTTCAGTTGACAGTGGCAAGCCTTCAAAGTCAAGATGCAACCCACAATGTGTCTCTTGTTTGTTATGCAAACCTTTGAAAACTTGAGACTTCAGTGCTCATCTCATAAGGATCTTTTTCTTTTCTTTTTCTTTTTTTCTTTTTTTTTTTCCCTGTGCAAGGAAAATAACACTGAACGGTGTATGTCCCCCTGTGTCTTCCTTCTGTTCCACTTTCGAGCTCAAAAGCCTTGGAAAAGTATTTCCCACATTTCTGCAATTGCATCCAAAAGAAAAACAAACAGAGGAAAAAAAATTATTTCAGCTTTTGTATTTAAGTAATCAAGTGCTGCTAACTCTGTGGAGGGCAACAATAAATATTTTGCACAAAAATAATTCAGAATGTCTCCCATTCACAAGGCATTACTTTTAAGGGCAATCTAGACGTAAATTGTACTCAGTCAAACCTCAGGGACTCAGTTTAATGTACACATGACCTGGCTCTGTGCAGTAGCCAAAGACAGGAACTTGAAACACAGACAGTTTGGAAAAAATGTATTAAAAAGGTTTCAAACTCGAATTCCTTCTAATCTCCTGCAAACATTTAGGGGTTTAAAGTTTTTATAATTATATTTCCCTTCCAAACTGAGTACCCAGGATCGCTGACTGACTCCAAAGCCTTGTGCAGCACATCCATTCACCGACAAACGAGCAAATCTTTGCTGCAGAAAATCCTCTCCCGAGCTCACATAATCTCCAGTGTCATTTCCAACAAAAGCAGGTAAAGAGGAAGCACACACAGGCCTTTACTGAAATGTTGCCTCTTTAATTTCCTGCCTTTTGTCACCAAACAATGGTGCAAATCCAATTTCTAGGGCATATTTCATAGAGGGGAGCATCAAAATGGGCTGTTTCTAAAGGGGTTCCACGAGTGTGGATGGGACCCATTAAACCCATCACCCTTGTCAGCAAATACAGCTGATGATGAGACACTCACGGAGGAAACACTCTGATTGCACTGGAATAAAACAGCATCTCCAAGAGATGGAGTAGAAAAGGGTGGGATACTCCTAAGGAAAATAAGGATGGTGCTTTTTTAAGGGAAGAAAAACGATGTGTGTAGTTTACCATGAGATAAGATCTCTGCTCCTTCTCTAGGAAGGTCTTGGCTGTCTCAGGGTGCAGTCCCTGCTAGGACAGTTTAATTAGGGGAAATTGCTCTGACCCTGCTCTGTGCAGGGGGAGGGAGCCTGGATGGGGCTGAAGTGCAATCCCAGCACTGAGACTGAGGTTTGAGCTCTGCAATGGCCCAGCTTCATCCTGAGGAGCAACAGTGAAGAGCCAGCAGAGGAGGCTGTGGGGTTCAATTCAACACAAAGCCCTCTCCTTATCCATTCCTACAATCCTGTGCACAGCCCATACTCCACGACAAAAGAGACAGGGGGTGTAAGGTGAAATAATTTAATTTATGGTCCCCACAGCCCCATGAGAAAAGGTACGTGGGGTATAGGGTGGTTTAGTTCAATGTAGCAGAGTCTAAAGATGTGGCAACACCCTGGGACACATCATGACCAACAAGGCTTCACAAGAGTGTCCAAAAGCTGTCTGTTCTTTATCCAGCTCACCTCAGATGGCCAAAAGCCGGGGTCCAAGTCCTTAGACAGAACCCCCTGCACCATCCCTGCCACAGGCAGGTGCCAATGAGGAACAAAACAGGGCCAATGTCCCCCATGTTAAGGTCTCAGTCCTGGGAGATGCTTTTTGCCCTGAGATCCCACCTCTGACTGACTGGACTGGTGGCTCCTCTTCCTGGCCAGTTGTGACACTCAGATTTAGGGAACTGGACAGAAAATCAGTCCTACCCTTAAACTTCACCTCCTTTTCCCCAAACACAGGCTCTGCTCCCCTTCAGCACGAGCTTCACATCTTCCCAGGACCTGCAGAGCACCTGCTCTTGCCCTGACTTGCTGAGAAAGTGCCTCATATTTTTGGGCTCACTGCTCTGAGGAGGAATTAATTACATTTTGAATCCTCTGTTGAGTTTTGGCTCCTCAGTGCTGACTATCATGGTCTGGGCTGGACTTAGAGCACTGCACTCCCAGCACAGCACTAACCCAAGATCAAAGACACTGTGGAGCAGATTTATGGTGCTGATTTTTGCCCCAGCTGCTGTTCTTTGCCCCACTCACGACACGCACTTTGCACGAGTGGATTTAGCAGAGGCTTTTTCAGCGAGCACAGAGTGCAAGCTGCTTCTCACGAGCTCAAACACTCACATGGCCAGAACTCCCAACTCCAGAGAGCCTCAAAAATATCTTAATGCCTCATTTTCCCCTAAAAGCTCCATTTCAGCTCCTGGGTGGGCAATAATCAGGGGTGCAAGGAAGTTTCTGGAGATGATTCAGTGTCACCCAAATGCTCAGCCCACCTGATGGACACAGGACTGACTGTGCAGGAACTCTGCAGAAAACAAGCCAAGAACTGGTCAACAAACAATCCCACCTACTGCCTCCAGCAGTGAGCAGGGCCATTCCAGGGCACTTCAGGCCACTTTGGACAGATTTTTTTTTCCCTTACTGGAAATGAGACTCCTGGAATGGCAATGGCAAAGGATAACTCCCCTGGCTGGATGCAGTTAATCCAGGTTGATGCTCCTCCAAGGAAAATTGGACAGTGCAACGTGAAGTGGCAGAAAAGATGAAGCCCAGGAGGGTTTCTCCACTCTGGGGTGTGGTAGAGGAAGGGAACAAGCTCCCAAAAAGCTGGTTGAAGACACCCTGCCCAGCTCAGACACGACCCAGAGTAGCTCTTGTAACTCTCGCTGCACTCCATCAGATCAGGGATGTGGTTCCTGCTGCTCTCCCTGTGCCTGGGACATCCCTCCAGCTGGCACAGAGCACAGGGCTGGCATGGTCATCCCTCCCCAGAGCTCACAGGCAGCTTCCTGCTGGCTCCTCCTGGAAAGCCAACGGCTGGAAAAACCTACTCTTTTTTTCCTTCCTCATTTTTCTTCCAGTTTCTGTTCTCTTCACCTCAAAGTCTCTCGTCAGACTTCAGCCTGCTAATATTTATGATACCTTCCTGATTCTCCCCCCTTTTCTCAGAAAAGGCTCATCTTTTGGTTTTACTTTCACCTCCTCCTCATGACCTGCAGTTTCTTCTCTGTCACGTGTTCTGTTTCTACTTGAGCACTTGGTGAAGAGGGGACTGAGGGCAGAGCTCAGCAGGGGCTGCAGCTCCAATCTCTGCTCTGGGGGGAGCAGGGACAGCCCCCAGGGAATGGCTGGAGCTGTGTCAGGGCAGGCTCAGGGTGGATCTCAGGGCAAGGTTCTTCCCCCCCAGGCTGGTTGGGCACTGAACAGGCTCCCCAGGGCAGTGGGCACAGCCCCAAGGCTGCCAGAGCTGCAGGAGGCTTTGGACAACGCTCTGAGGGACAGGGGGGGATTGCTGGGGTGTCTGCGCAGGGCCAGGAGTTTGACTGGATGACTCTTGTGGGTGCCTTCCAACTGAGGAGACTCTGTGATTCTACAATTCCACACTCCTTTTTGCTCTCCCTTTCCTTACCACGTGTTCTGCTCTGCTCTCTCAGTACAGCAGCAGAGCTCCAGCCCGTGCACGGCACTGGCACGACGACAGCAAAGCTTTAAGGAACAAGTCCCATGGATTACATGGCACATGGTTTCCAGCTGCTCCCACTGCATGTCTGTGGCCAAATCCAAAGCACAAGCACTAAAACTGGGGGATTCCAGCTCTTATTTCCATTCAAACATCATT